ATTTTTTTCCTTCAACTTGAACCTTTTTGGGCTGAGATTTTCTCACCAGAGTCTGTATTATTTTTCCTATGGGCAACTGTCCCCTTGATTAATCCCATTTCCCTTAGTCCTAGTTTTCCCAGGCAGCTGAGCAAACAAAGATGCAGGCAGCCATTTTAACGCGTTTCCTGCCTGGGCCTGTGGGGAGGGCTGCGTCCATCCTGTTCATAAACCAAGGCCCAAGTGGGACTGGAGTGAGCAGGAGGATCTTCTGTCGGGGATTAATTTTAATAGGCTACAGTCTGTCACCCGGGAACGATAGCCCTGGTAAATGGCTTTAAATTACTATTTGCTGATAAAAAGGGAGATAGGAGCTGAAAATTGGGTTCCTTGGTTCAAACAATTTGGACAACTAATGCAAGCATGTACTTTGGTGTGAGTGCACACACTTTACAACCTAAGCCCCTGGGTGGCTGAGGAAAACCTTTTGCTGCTGTGGGATTACAGTGACATATAATGGGGGAAATGGGACAGTCTGTAAAAGTATAGGATTTTAGAGCTGGAGGGGAAATGAATCTGTCTGTAAATTCCTAGGGACCTATGGAGCTTTATGTTTCTGATTTCTGTGGACAAATGTTTCTTCTCCGACCGTCCCTGCCCTACTTTTGTCTCCCTACCAGCTCCTTTCTGTTTGCTATTTTCATTCTGTTTTTCTCAGACTCAAATTACAGTTCTCTATTCCTTCCCTTACTTTCCCTTTCTTACAGCCAGGCCTTCGTCAGTTATGTGTGAAGCTCGGTGAAGAAGAACACACACATATCTGAGTAACAGTGGCCCACAGGAGAAGTGAGGAAGCCGTGGCACTTGTCTTTTTCCACATAAATTCAGCGACAGCAGCCTGGAGGACCGATGGGGAGGAGAAGTTTTGTAAAATGGTACACAGATGTCAGCCAGTATTCTTCAATTAAGTCTTAGGTACACCACTGTTCATTAATTTTTCATTAGTTCTGATTGTTTTGATTTATTTGAAAATCCAGCATGCTCCATTTCCAAATGGAGTCTTTAAAAAAAATCATGAAAGAAAATTGAGTTTGCCTCATACTTTTTAAAATGACCTTTGGGTGCTTTTGTTCCAGCGTTTTCCTTTGTACCATCATGTCTCATGTCATTTGCTCATGGAGAAAATGGTCTTCATATCTCTTTAAAAACATAGTTGATACCATCAAAGTGTTTGCTGAAAGTGCTGTCATTTTTCTTAAGTGTCTAAGATAGGGCTCTTGGGCAAGAAGGATGATGGTTAAAATTTAAGAAAACAAAACAAAACTAAAACTAAGTGACAATGAGGAGATGGAACAACTGGAACTCTCAGATATTGCCTGTGGGGTGAAAAATGGAGCAGACACCTTGGATAATTCGGTAGGTCTCTTTTTTTTCTACAAAGTTAAACATTCATCTACCACATGACCTAGTAGTCCCACTCCCAAGAGAAATGAAAGCTTATGATTACACAAAAAGCTCAACGTAAATGTTTATAACAATTTGATTCATAACTGAAATCAACTCAAATATCTTTCTACTGTGCAATGCATGAACAAACCTGCACAATGAAATAATAGCAGAAAGAAGAAACAAATCACTGACACAGGTGACAGGAGATTTAGCTCAGCAGTATAAGTGCCTGCCTTGCAAGTGTGCAGCTGTGAGTTCGATCCCTGGTACCAAAAAAAAAAAAATCATTGACATGCATAAGGGAATAGATGAATCCTAAAGACATCATGTGGAACAAGAAAAAAAAAAACAAGATGCAAGAGGGCTACTGTATGATTCCATTTAGATGATGTTCCAGAAAAGGCAAAAACCTAGGGACAGAAGATGGTTACAAGGCTGGAGTGAGTGGAGCAGGCAACTGCATTGTGAGGGATGGTGAAACTGCTCTGTGTCCTGGCCATGGAAGTCAGCTCACCATGGCCACCTATATTGAGTTGCATTCACAGGTCCTATTTGCGACAGAATTTTGCTAAATTCCTCATGCTGGGCTTTAACTTGTGATCTTATTTCAGCCTCCCAGAGTGGTAGGATTAGAGATGTAAACTATGATGCCCAGCTAATCCTGTTTCTTGATAAGGAGTATAACATTCACATAGTAAGAACATGTGTGAGTGGCATATTAGTCCTTTTTCTTGTATTGCAGCAAAATATTGTGAGTGGGTCATGTGTGGAGAGTTATGTAGTTAGCTTATGAACCACAGGTTCAAGCATTTGGCCCCATCAGAGATTTATGGCTCAGATTTGCTGTTTTGTAACAATCTCTCACAGAAACTACCTCAATCCCTTCTGAGGGCAGTACCCCCAATAACCTAATTATTTCTCCCTAGGGCTCACTCCTTCCATGCTACTTCTCATCACACCAGTGGCCAGATTTCCAACATATGAACCCTCACAGAACAACTCAAGTCATATCAACCATACCAGACAGCAACTGTTGCCACTTTAGCTACCTCCTGGTATATTATTGCCAGATTTGTGCCATTCGTGTCCAATACTGACAACAATGTAAGAAAATAAGTGAGCAGCTTGGAAATTCTAAAGATTAATGTTTATTAATTTCAGAATTATAAGCTTTTAGCTTAAACTGTACAAAGATGAATGGAAATCATTCCATGCTTTTAATCATGTTTAGTGTTCTTTCACAAGTTGGTGGTAATTGGAGGGCTATAAGTCATTCTGACAGTATTTAATGTAACTGATGAAATGTTTCTTTCCTTTCTTTTTAAAAAATATTTTCTTCCTTTATAGCACAGCCAAGTTCATTAATTTAGTCTGAAGGCAAATATACAGGAGATTAACCCAAGTATTATTAGAAAAGTGGTTTTGATTTTTAAAAAATGAATCTGGAGAACAAAAACAAACTCCAAAAATACTTGTCCAGATTCATTTTTATAAACAATGGACTCTGATATGCAACTGGAATTCTTCAACAGAGATCAACTCTCTGTGGTTTGTGGGTTCTATTTCTTCTCATGTTTGCCTGGTTCAGCAGCGAACAGGTAAAACCTGTGAGATATTGATTCTTGCTTTGTTCTTTATTTCTCCACTACTAAATGTTTCCATTTTATATCTTTTCCCTGGACACTGCTGTGAAAATTTGTGTTCCAGATACTTTTAATTTGCTTAACACATACAGAATAATACTTTTTCTTCATTTTGTGAAAAATTCTGCTTTGCTGGAGGGGGAAATTTCACTGGTCACGCCTCTTGATGGTCTGTGCATGGGCACTGGTAGGAACTCAGATTTGTTTTATGACCTTCTGAAGCCCTAAGCCACAAACTATAAAAGATTCAAACTCATACCCCTGAAAATACCTCCATAGTACTTATGGATAATATTTACATAAAAAGCTTAAGACTTGTAAGAAACATTTTATTTAAAGAAAAAAGAACATAGGTAGAGACAAAAATTATGATTTAATTAGTACCTGCTAGTGTAAAGGACAGAAACACAAATATCTTTCTGACAGAAAAGACAATAATTTTATTTAAAAAATCATCATGTTTAACACAGAGAAGTACAATATGCAAAAATGTGAATCCAACTATAGTTGTGCTCAAAAGAAAGGGCCATTTGGTTTTGAACAATCCAGGAAACCAGGGAGGAAGTGTTTAGAACCAACATTTAGGACTGGTAAGGGAAGAAGGGTCAGCCTTCCACCAGTGGAAAACAGAAAAGGCAAAAATTCTGAAGAGTTGGTGCAGATTTAAGTTGTTGAAAGCAATATCAAGAAAACTGGCCATAATTTGGCTCCCTGGAGTAGCTTCGGGTTGTATGTCATGTTGGGAGGCAGTTGCTTGGGTTTACATAGCATCTTATGTAGGACTGAAAAAGGCTTCAGTTTCCTGTATCAGAGAACTGGGGCAGAGAGTTGGAAGACATAGGGTAGTATTTGCTGGGTCTCTCCCAGATGACACATGTTGTGACAGAGCATGCCTCCTGTTCTATCCTTTATGAAGCAAGTTTTTTAGGATAAACTATAAAAATTACTGTCTTCTTAACAGAGAGTAAATCTTTTCAAAAATTGTATACATTTGGAAATAGGTTTAATGGGAGGATGGGGGATTTGCAGATCGCTGTGATGGAAAAAGCTAGGCATTAGGGTGTGCAATCTGCTATCAATTACTTTTACTGACAAAAACAGGGACTTATGAACCACAACTTCTCAGCCATTTGTCCAGCGCCTCCAGGCCCCCAAAATCTCTTCTGCGGGCCTCTGGAAACAAGAGAGGAGAGTTTTGAGCTGTTAACAATGATTTGGGTTCGTCGAAAGAAGCCAGCGATACCGAATGTCCTGCTCCAAAATGCCGCGGACACTGCTCGGGAGCGCCGCGGGTCCCCTAAGTAGGCTCTGCACGTGGCCGGGCAGCACCGGGCTTGCCCAGCGCTCACGCCGCCAGCTCCCTCGCGCTTCAGTTTTCTCAAATGCCTGTCCGCGTCCGCACCAGCCGCTGTAGTACACGGTTTTATCTGTGTTTCACAGCGCCCTCTCCACGCTGTAAACCTCCAGGCTGCAGGGCACCGGTCCCCGCCACTTAAGTCTGCCGCTTACTTTTTAGAAAAAGAGCCAAACCTAGGCGCGCACGTCATACGTCACTTCCGCCCCTCCGCGCGCCCATGGGCCGCCCCTTCTCTGGGTCTGTGTTTGTTTCCGGCGTTTCAATAAAGCTCGATTAGATTCGAAGAAGCCCGCTCTTCCGGGAAAATGGCGGCCCCCGCCCGCGCCGCCGAGTCGCCGTCGGCCGCGGATCCGGCGCCAGCCGCGGCGCCCGCCGAGGGAGCCGCCTGCGCGCCGCTCGGCCCGCCGCAGGCTCCGCAGCATGTCCTCGCCGCCCCGCGGCCTCGAGCCCCTCGCTCCCGAGGGCTGGGGGCGGCGGAGTTTGGCGGAGCTGCAGGAGATGCTGCGGCGCCAGGAGAGACTTTTGCGCAACGAGTAAGCTGGGTCGCGGGAGTCCCCGCCGGCGCCTGGGTTCGCGCCTGGGGAGGACCTGTCACCGGAAGGTGACCTTGCCTCGGTCGCGTCCGGCCGCGTCCCCTCCTCCCGCGCCCGCGGCCTCGGGCCCCGCTCCAGACGGCGCGAGCCCAGGAACTTTTGGCTACTACTGGGCCCTGGGGCCCTGAGGTTTGCGGACGCAGTGCAGCATGGTTTGCAGCAGTGAGAGGCGCACACGCCGGGAGGACATCTGCAGAGAGCGTCCGACGAGGGGAAGCCAGAGGGCGGGCTGGGAAGGCAGCTGGGTGTGTAGTAGATAAGGGTGGCTGAAGTGTTCCAGGCTGTGAGGGAAGTCACGAACAAAAGTAGGAAAACGCGTGAAGAGGGGTGGAGTCAAGGTTCATTGCACTTAAAGAGTGTGCGGAGTTTCAAGGAGAGCATAACAGATACTAGTTAATTAAAAGGTGGAGCAGAGGGACCTGCAGAGAGATGTTAATCCGCACGGGAAGCTGCAGGAATGAGTGTGGCGTGGGAAGCATGGAGTGCCAGAGGGAACCGCCTCTGTCCCAAAGGAAAAAGAATCAGAAAAAGAATTTCTGCTGTCACTCTGCAAAAAGGGCACAGATCACTTGTTGGTTGAGTTAGGTGAAGTCTTCTGGTAGAGGAGGATGATTTTTCTTTGAGAATGGGTTTTATTTTCTTTTAATAATTTGTTGTCTCTTGTTTTGGGGGACATTTGAATAATTGTTTCATTCTTACTTTGAGCCATTCAGAAATCATACTTCTGGCTTAAAAATCATTTTTTCTCCCTTTGAATATAATGTTTTACCTTTTAAGTTTGTCTTAAGTTTAGAAACACAGCGGTAATGTGTATGTGTTTTTTCCATTTGACAGAAAATTCATTTGCAGATTGCCCGACAAAGGTAAAAAGATCTCAGACACTGTTGCCAAGCTGAAAGCTGCCATTGCTGAGCGTGAAGAGGGCAGAGGAAGAAGCAAATTGTTTTATCCTGTTAGTTTAGACTTTGAGCTAAGGCAAAAGGCAATTGCGGGAGTTGATGTGGACATAGATAAAACGTCGAATTTTGAACAGATGCTTGATATTTCATCACCAGTTCCTGGCTGTTCCCCTGTAGATAAAATCAAGTCATCCAAAAGTACATCAGAAGAGCAGGGACTTGTGCATCCCACTCATGAAGACAGTGAAGGGACTCCACGGGGTGAGTCTGTGGTGAGCCAGCACCCAGCTCCCGACGGCAGTGCTGGGGCACTTGCCCCAGCGGAGGCTGAGGAGCGTCTCCCACAGCATGATGTCGAGGGTCCCACAGAAGATATTTCCAGCGGCTTGAACCACCTGCTTGTTGACAAATTGCAAAGGATCACGATTGCAGATGGAGGTGAAGACCATTCAGGAGCAAGCACAGGTGCTGAGACCTTGCCAGGCCTCTGCAGTGGACCTCCTAGGAGGCCTCATTACATAGAAGTGCTCGAAATGCGAGCCAAGAACCCAGTGCCCCCGCCACATAAATTTAAAACCAATGTGTAAGTACCGCCGGGAACCACCCTATCACAGGACATCATGTGTGTGAAACTCAGAAAGGGCTGTGTGAGCATACTCCTCGGCAGGCACAAGCAGTGTGGAAACAGCGAAACCAGCTTGGCAGGAGCAGAGGGTTTCTGTGGAAAAATACTTTGATTTTGAAGCCAAATAATTTAAAAGGTTTTAAGTAGCAGATGGGGAATATCAAATTTCAGGATGCTTAGCCAATATTCTATACTAAACACGGAATTGGAGAGACAATTTGTTAGGGCTTTTTTTCCAGCACTGATTTCTGGTGTGCAGCTCCGCTTCGATTAACCCGGTAAGCACAGGGAGAAGCAGGTGCAGGTGCTGCTAGGCCTGTCAGTGTGCTTCTGTGTAGGCGGCATTGCTCTGGGGGTACAGTGAAGTAAGGCTTCTGTTCCCAGGAGAGTTCAGGACCTGGGTGAGGAGCAGCACTCACACTCCTACTAGGAAAGTTAACTACATAATAGTAACAGTTTCTGGGGTCTGGGGAGAGGCAGAGGAGAAGAGCTAAAAAAATAAAACTTGATTCTTGCTCCTGAGTTCCTTGCTATAGTTTTGTTTCTGATATTTCCAGAAAAATAAAAGTTCTTTAAAAGGGAAAGAGTTGTTCTTCATGGATTGCACATGTAATATTTAGGTGTACTTACAGGGATGCTGACATAAAACACTATTATTCCTTTATTTGAAAAACAGAATCTCATGTTTAGAAATACTTAAGATGTGTTTTTGTTGTAACAAAGAGACTTTAAAGTTTGATGCTACCCTGTGATTCATGGTTTTTTTAAATATCAAAACATTGCTGCTGTGTGGCAAAGCAGTATTGTTCTACATTTCTTGGGGGGGGGGTGAAAGTGATCCTTAATTGAGTATTCTTGTTCTGTATGCCCTGAGGTATCTTCATTTCTAAGAAGCCACTTTAGAAAACCAGAAGCATCTTGTCCAGTTAGCAAGTACAAGAGAGTGTCAGTCGGTTGCAGTTGTGCGTTGTGATCCTTTGGCTGGGAGCTGGAGGTGAGGGGAAGCAGTGAGGGCTCCTGAGGGTCAGGGATATTTCAGAGTGAGGGAGCAGCCTGTGCAGTAGAGGAGAGCAGGACAGGCTGAGCCTGCCGGAGGCAGTGGGCACAGAATGGCAAGCGTTGCGTGTCCGTGGTGGAGAGTGAATCGTGTTCTGTGGCCCTGTTTTTATGGTGCTGGATGTGGCGCCCAGGCCTCATGCCTGCTAGCCTGACCCGTACTTTGGCTTGTCTCTTCCTTTGGTCTTCTGCATGTTCTGGCTTTGTGTACTCTACCTGGATGCTGGAGGCTTCCCAAAATACTGGGATTTGTACCACCAGCAGCTATGAAACACAGCCACTTGGGTGCCCATGACCCCTCAGGTCCATCGCAAACCAAGTGGAACTCCAGCATTTTCCCAGACATCCTGCTGTGTTTTGACCTAGGTGTCTTTTTCCTGTCTCCAGCGCCACCTCTGTGATGCATTTCCTGGCTCTGCATCTGTATCTTCGCTCTTTATTCTCTCGTGTCAGAGTGAAGGTTCCCATCTCTCCCATGGGGTGTAACTGGACTTTCTGACTACCCTACTGCCAGCCCTTCCTCCCCTTCACTGCCAGCCCTGCTGCCAGAGTGGCGTTTGTAAAGTAAAGGTCCAGACCTGTCACCTGGACTAGAACCCTGCACTGCAGCCTGGGCCCAGCCTCCTGGCCATCTCCTCCCCAGTTTTCTGTGTTGTGCTGCCCACCTCTAACCTGCTTCCCCCACTCACTGCTGGGGTGCTCTTCTCCCCTCAGCCAAGCCCGTTCATGTGTTACCTTGAAGCTTTGCTGATGACGTCTCTCCTAGAACAGATCTCTTAGCATGCATGGTATTGCATTACACTGAAACTGTGCACTTGTTTGTGGTAGGTTGTTTACAGTAAGCTCCTTTGCAGATGTGTTTCTGAGTGAATAAATGAAAATGTAACCTCAGCGTGAGTATGAGGTGTGAGAAAGGAAAGAACGGCCCTGAGCGTGTGTCTGTACACCCATAGCCCCCGTGGACTAAGTGTGGGTAGACAGCGAGGGTTAAAGGTTGTGTGTCTGTGTGTATGAATGTTTTTGTTGTGTCTGGAGAGGTGACTGTAGTCTAACAGAAGTTCCCCGCCCTCAGGTTGCCGTCACAGCGCCGTGGCTCCCCTGGTCACTGTCGCAGGGGAGAGTCTCCTGTCTCCTCCGAGGAGCGGCGGCACAGGGACAAGCAGCACCTCGATGACATCACAGCTGCACGGCTCTTGCCACTGCACCATCTGCCTGCACAGCTGCTGACCATAGAAGAATCCCTGGCGCTTCAGTGGCAGCAGAAGCAGAGTTACGAGGTATTCCGAGCACCAAACTGTTCTCACCTTTGTTGGCTGCTCCTGTGTTTGTCAGAAGTTGCTCGGGAGCTCGAGGAAGAAGGGTATGACAGGAAGTATGATGCCGAGGTAGCCATTAGCTCTCAGGGGTGAGCCAGAGCTGCTAGAGCTGCGGGCACAGCTGACGACAGGCAGCATCCCTTGGAGAAGCAGCAGCACTGTTCTCTCTCTCCTTCCCGTGAACCCCACTGACGGCCCCTTGCTCATGGGGTACAGCCCATACCCGCTAAGATCACTGGGAAATGGGCCCCCAGTCTTGCTCCCCTTTGGTATGGCACAGCACTCAAGAGTGGGGAACAGGTCGTGTTGCCGGCAGAGCTGAGTCGTGCCCCAGTGAGGCGAAGGAGCCTTCTGCTCTGGTCACCTAAATCCCTTTGTGCACTTTTTCTGAAGACCTCTATAGTCTGCATGGTTCCAGTGTAGCTGCTTCTCGGCATGTTAGCATCACTGCTGGTTAGGACTTAAGCATCGAGGAAGTGCGTTTATATTATCTGGGGCTCTAAGATGCCTGTCGTCAGGCAGTCTGGGGTTATAACCATTCTCTGGCAGGGCAGGAGTGGTGGCTTCTGCATGTACCTGCTGGACTTACATGTGGTCCTGGGGGAAGGTCATGGGGAAGACCTGGGGGCCCCAGGGGGAGAGCCTGCCTGCCCTGGCTTCAGGGAATGCCCTCGGCGTGTGGGAGTCCACTGCCTGGCTGAACTTGCTTGGGCTTTTGTCGAGTGTGATTTCTGTAGGACTTTATTTGGTGTTAGAATCAATACCTGATTTTCCTGTGTCATCAAAATGTAATTCTCAGGCCTGGAAGCCATGATTTAATCTGCAGAAGCAGGTTCTGTCATCTCGAGAAATAAACATAATTGGTGATTTTTGACATTTAGTGCTTCAGGTCATGTGCTGTGTCCTTTCCCACTGAAATACTATAAGGAAAAGATGCGAATGTGTAACTTTTTGGTTTGTTCTTTGCTTTAAAGGAAATGCAGGCGAAGCTCGCAGCACAGAAGCTAGCAGAAAGACTGAATGTTAAAATGCAGAGTTACAATCCAGAAGGGGAGTCTGCAGGGGGGTACCGAGAAGTGAGGGATGAAGACGACGCCCTGTCCTCTGAAGACGAGAGCTGAGGGTGGCCTCACGGCGGCCTTCCAAGCCTGACCGCTGAGACGTCGTTCCTTTCATCAGACTGACAAGTGTGGTGATCAGCGTCAGACAGCGCTGAGGGAAACCTGTTAGACTGACACAGATGAAGCTACAAGGAGAAGCCCAGCATGTCTTTCAGCGGATGATCTTCATGTGCCTGAAAAGTTTACTATTTGAACATCATGTTTAACCATATTGTATTAAAGTTTTGCGGCTTGTCATACATCAATCTGGTAATTTAGTATGTGGCAGAGTACAATGTTTTCTGAAGGCCAAGTGCAGTCAGATGATTTTGCCTTTTCCCTAAATGTCAGATAGCACTCATCACCTCTCCCAGCGAAGTCTCTACCTGCCCTGCACAGCTCTGGTGAGTGAGGAAGGGGCCGCCTGGAGAGGTCGGTGCACCTGCACGGAGTTCCTGGGCCCCTGGACCGAGAGGTCTAGCATCCAGGGAGGCAGGAGGAGGTGTTTGTTTCCATCTGCTTAGGAACAGGAAGGCTTTGAGGAGGTGCTGAAGGTGTGGGACCTTGCTGCAAGGTCAGTTTGCAGGGAGTGACTGTATAGGAAGTGCTCAACTCAGTTGAGCTCGGTGAAAGGAGGTGCTGGTCTCGGGCGGCAGCTGATGGGTTCTGTGAACTCGAGGGCGACAGGTCCACATGCGGGACGTAAGTGTCTGGTAAGGAGACCAGATTTTAAAGGTGACAGATATCAATATTTTAGGTCCCTCCCCCACAAAAGTCATATATAGAGAGGCCATGGAAATCTCAGGCTTGGGGCTGGAGGGTTAGCTCAGCGGCAGAAGTGCCTTCAAGAGTGAGGTTGTTAGTTCAATCCCCGGCACCAAAAAAAATAAGTTTCAATCTCATTTGTGCAGGTTCCCATCATTTTAAATGATTGTATGTTGTCTCCTGAGGAATTTACACTTATAAAAAAAATCTTCCCTTAATATGTAGAGCCTTAAAATACTGAAAGAAAAAAAAAATAAAGTGTTACAGTAACTTCAAATGCTGATGATGAATTTTACTGGTGTCTAAATTTTGCTTCCTTCCAAAGAGGCCATTCAAGTGTGGCGTGTGTAGGGAAGCACACTTGGGCCACAGGCCTGTGACACCTAGAGAAGCTGCTTTCCCTCGCCCTCTTCCTGGGAGAGACCAGCATTGAAGGATGCTGAGCTGACAATTTTGTTGTTTTTAGTCTTTTTTTTTTTTTTTTCTTTCTTGTCTTTTTGAGAAAGGGTCTCTCTAAGCAATTCAGGCTGGCCATTAGCTCACTTGTAGCCCAGACTGGTCTCGAACTTGCAACAATCCTCCTGCCTCAGCCTCCTGAGTGCTGGGATTATAGGTGTGAGCCACACACCTGGCTTGCTTTTAGTCTTTAAAGCTAACAGCTGGTTTGAGAACACGAGCGATTTAGTATCCTGCGTGGGATGAAAGGGCCAGCAGCTTCCGCAGGACTGGAGGCAGCAGTGTTCGTGCACACACCCTGACTTCAGGCCAAGCCTCAGCTCCAGCCTGAGACCGGGGAGCCCGCTGTGATTTGGGGTTCCCTGCAGCCATACACTCAGTCTGGAAATGCAGTCATACCGCTTACTGTTTGACAGACTGCTTTGAAGATTATCAACATTTTTATTAAATACTTTGCACATTACATAGCTCCAAGATATTTTTCACCGTAACTGTTAAAATAATGTCCTATTGTATAAAAATTGTTTATGTGATTTCAACAGTGATTTGATCAATATCTTAAGAGGTAATCACATTGACCAGCTGTGGTAGTACAACCCTGTAATCCCAGGAGTCTGGGAGGCTGAGGCAGAAGAATCACAAGTTGGAACCTGGCTTGGGCAGTTTAGTGACTTTGGGGGTCCTGCCTCAAACTTTAAAAAGGGCAAGGGGTCAGGAATGTAGTTCACTGCAAAGGCTCTGGGTTCAATTTCTGCTACCAAAAAATCCCAGAAAAAACATGTGTTTATTTCCAGAGACATTTTTAAAGAAGTGAAATTGCTAGAGAAAAGGTATGTAAGTTTTTGAGAACCCTGTTATATACCACACATTTCAGAGAGTGTGTCCACTTACATTTCCTTTAGCCATATATCAGTCACCCAGAATTTAAAATCACTGTAATAAAATAAATTACTCTTTAATATATTTGCAAATTAATTGTAGAAAAAGCTTAGTGAAGGGTGTTTTTTTTGGGTGTTTATTTTCCATTTCTATTCATTGAGGTTTGCTTATTCATATGTTTTTGTTTTGTTACTATTTTGGAGAGCCTGCCCTTTTTCTTAGTTTGAATTCTTCCTGAATTAAGAATGTCTATCCTTTGTCATGTAGCACTTTGTATAGCTTCTGGTGTTTCAGTGTAGTTTTCTTTAGAAGTCTACCTTTACACATGTGCTTAAACGTACACGTCTTAACCCAACTGGATAAATATACTAGTTTTGTTTTTTTTTGTTGCTTTTTTTTCTCTTTTACAATTGTCTTTCATTCAATAGGAATTTTATTATGTTTATGCGTGTAATTCATTTAATCTACATAACTGGAATGAAGAAATTTTGATTACCTCTAGTTTGGAGATACTGTGTAGGGTGGAGATTTAAGATAAATCTTTGCAAGGGGTTTATCAGTTGCTTCAGTATTGAAAGCCACTGTTTTCCTTGTAATGCTCTATTTATAGATTATTAAATTTTTATGTGTCTTTTGCATCTTTGGTTTATTTCTGGACCTCCTGATTTTTTCCATGTCACCAGCCATTCTGGTTTCAATTGCTGATATATTTGGTAGAGCGAGTCCCCTCTTTTTCTTGGAAATTTGGTGAACTATAGCCTACAGAAAAGCAGAAAACTGATGTGCGATCTCCTGGATAAACCGGCCGCTGAGCACACCACGAGCAGGGAAGCCGTCGCTGGCACTTGGAACCTCGTGTCCCCAGAGGCCATGACTGTCCTGACTTTGTCCTAAGTCTCCACTCTACAAACATTTTAAAAAATCTGTTCATCCTGAGACCTTATAGCTTGTTCTGTCCACTTTCGCCTCCCATAAATATGGACCCAATCTGTGTGTTGCATCCTTAACTCAGCATGGCTGAGAAGAGGCATGTTGCGTGGTTTCCCTTTCCTGCCATAGGGCGCATTTCTCCAGGGCTGCTCTGTCTTTATCAAGTGACGTCCCTGCATTTGGGCTGTGGGAAGCAGCACTGTGATGCACACTGTGCCTGTGAGCGCATCTCTGTGGGGCGCATGCCCCTTTTGGGGTTGCAGGGTGCACTCCTGCCTGTGGGGCTGCTGGGCCCGGAGCTGTGCAGCAGTTCTGGTCTCAGCCGACTTCGGTTTTAGCCAGTGTGATGTGCATGGCAGCTTCGTGCTGGTTTTGTTCTGCATTTCCCTGACCAGGCATGGCACGGAGCTTACTGGATGCTTATTGGCCTCTGGATTTTTTCTGAAAAGTACCTGTTTGAATCCCACCCTTTTTGTGTCCTGTTGTCTCAACGGTCTCCTTTTCTGTGGTTTGTAGGGTATATTCTGGACACCAATCTGTGGTCTTTAAATAAAGAATTTGGTATTTGCTGGGTCATGTTTGTATCTTCTCCCCTTTTAGATTCAAGTTTTCATTGTCTTCATGCTGTGTTGATAGTGAAAATTCTTCATTTTAGTGGAAAATCTGCCATTCTTCTGTCTTGAGTTCTTTGTGTCTTGTAAGGAATTGGCTATAACAGCAATAGATTATGAGTTTTGGGGCTCACTGCCTCTGTGTCCTGTTCCTCCAGGGAAACTCTGTGCGCTCGGGGCCAGTTAGTCTGTTCGGTGTGGTCATCGATCCCTCAGCTAACATACTGCGTGTTTTGAAGCTAATTTCACAGTGTGGCCTGTGAGAGCTAAAAGATTTTATCAAGAGCCTTATAATGATGATAACAATTAGGACCGAAGCAGTTTTAGGAGAAGCAGTTTCACCATATGAAGTGAAATGTTTTAAACTCACTAGCACTTGGAACTTTTAATTTCGTGTTAAATTAACCAAGAAGAATAAGACTCCTTAACTATTTTGACAAGGGGAAGTCAGAGCATTGAGCTAAAGAGAGCCCCAGCTATGTCCGGAGAAGTTCCATGTTAGTAAAATCAAAGATATTGTAAATCAAGGCCTCACTTGGAGCACATGGAAATACACCTTCAATTTAAGAGGTAGAGACTCAGCTTATAAATTGTCTGAAAATATTCCTAAGAAATACGTTTCCATTTTCCTAATTATACCGCATATACTTGTATTATATACCATTTCTAGTGATTGTTTTGTAAAGATGAAAGCACATCTTCAACTTAGATTTTAGCAAAAAGATTTTACCTCTAGCTGCTTTTCACACTGAGGCTCCATTAAGAAAAATGTCACTGCAGTGGAAGGTAAGTTTTAACTTGAACTATCATTTTTTAGTTCTTAGGAAAGACAGTTTAGAATTCATTCCACCCACTCAGTGGGGAAACTGAGGCACAGAGGCGCGGAGTGTAAACACCAGTGGCTCAGGCTGACTGCAAGCCCACATAGCAAGTTACCCACTCCCTTCTCAGCTCAGCAGCAGCAACACCAGGGCTGCACAGTGCAGTGAGGCCCCACGGGCAGGGGCCAGGATGAACCCTGAGGTTGGCAGGGGCAGTGATGGCAGGGTTCTTGCTTCAGTACCACATTTCCCGGAAAATAAGCCCTAGCTGGTCATTGCCGTGGTGATGGCCGGTGTCCCGCCTCCTGTTCTTCCTGTTCTCTGGCGTGGTGGCAGGTGCAGCAAGCACAGGCTGATTGGGCTGGTGCTTCTGAGCCCTTTTTCTCAAGGCTGGTTATTATCCAGCAAGGCTTTATCTTTGGGAAGACACGGTATTAGCAGAGTGCTGTCTGTCACTCCTTGGGAGGTGAGTGTGCTGGTTTATAAGACAAAGAACTGGATGTCTCACACGTGTCTTTCCCTGCAGAAGCTCCACGAAGAGCAGAGTCTAGGTTGCACCTGGCCAGGCCACCAGAGCTCTGGGCACCTGCGCTACGTGCAGGTGAGTGCGGGCCCAAGGTGGCTTTGAGGCCCTGCTGAGGCCCTTGCCCCTGCGGCTCCTGTCAGAGGTGGAGTAAAAGCTGAAGTCGGGGAAGGGACCCCGAGATGCCTCCAGACCACCCCCACCCCTAACACCCCAGCACAGGCCTGCAGCAGCAGGTTGCAGATCCCAGCACAGATGTAGGCACAGCAGCCTGGGCTCAGGCGGTGACCCCGAACTGCTGTACTGTTCCCGCCCCACCTCTGCAGCTTGCCGTTCTCCGGCTCCAGTGGACATCGAAAGTGCTGGGAGCTACCGGGTTGGGCCGGCTGAGTTGGGTGCCCGGGCCCTGTGCCCTACTGCTGGCCCTTGCCCTTGCCCTAGGCCTGGGTCCCACCAGTGAACCACTGGGCTGCTGGTCACCCACCCTGTGACTAAGGGGGTATGGGTGGTCCCGGGAGCAAGCCTGGGCCCCAGGTTCTGCTCAGCTCTGTCCCTCCTGGAGCTGGGCTTGGGAGTTGGGGGTGGTGACAGGAGGTGTGGCTGGTGGTGGTGGTGGAGAGAGAGAGTCAGACAGACACAGAGACAAGAGAGATAGACAGAGACAGAAAGATAGAAAGCTGCTGCCCCGCCTAGTCATGATCTGGAGGACAGTGAGGCCTCCGGTCGCCAATGGGTGGGAGCCTGCAGGAAGCACAGGACGAAGTTGCCTCTGAACCTGGGGCATGCACGGCGGGGACAGGCCAGGTAGTGTCCAGCTCGCAGCTCTGGGTAGGGGAGGCCTGGGTGGATGGGTCGGGTTCTCAGAATAATGAGGAGTCAGATTCAGTTCAAAGGCTTTTTTCTTTTCTTTTTTTGAGTGATCTTTCAGGGGCCTTCCCGGTGATGTGATACAGGGTTGTTTACTGGGGAGCCCTGGTAAGGCAGACAGGGGACCGGGTGTGACAGGCGAGCCAGGCTCTGAAGTGTGCACAGGGCCAGGGCTGTGAGGGTGAGCAGGGACCCCAGGTATGACAAGTCTGTCCCAGCCCTCGCAGAGGTGGTCTGCGCCCATGTAATACAACGGAGGACTTCAGGAGAAGCTCGCCTGTCACTGAGTATCCTGATCCAGTGACCGTGGTCCTCAGACTGGAGAGAGACCACAGACACTCAGTTCGTGAGGAGTCGGCAGTGATAGCACAGAATGGAGCCCGGCACCTGGGAGCCCGAGGACGCCAGACCTGCAGGGGAAGGGCTGACATAGACCCTTGGATTTCAGGCCTCAGCGAGGGAAGAGAGCTGGGGTCCTGCACCAGCCCATGGCAGTTTGTTCTGCAGCCCAGAGAAGGAGAAGAAGAAGCCAGGCCTTTTCACCGTGCCTGCTCGGTGTCAGTCACCGCGGCCAGCTGCCCCATAAGGAAGGAAGGGCGGCCTTGGGCCGGCCAGGAGCAGACCCAAGGAATAGCAGTGGGGTCTGGCAGGCAGCTTGGGTCCAGGGCCTGGGTGGTAGAGTAGCACAGCAGGGCCACCCCCAGCCCTGGCTTCTCATCCGTGCGATGGGAATCTCAAGGAGACCTGTCTCAGATACTTATTAAACTCCATGACAAGGTGCACGGACCATGTCTGCACCGGAGCCTGTCCCTGGGTTCCTTTGACTTCCCTGGGGCCCAGTGAATGGTGGCTTTTGTCCTAGGTCGCAAAGGCACCAGGGCTGGGACAGACCTACGCTGCCTGACTCTCTGGCCAGGCTGCTTCTGTGACGGTCCTCTCCCTGCCTATGCCTTCTTTTCATAATACAGTTCCTGTTTTTATGCAGTGAGACAAAATTCGTGCTTTACTGAAGAAGCATGATTTTGCCTCCTCACCCACAGGCAGGAGCTCTGAGGTGCCTGAAATTGACCCACACTGTCTCCGGTGGACCCAGGGTGACCGGAGACATTAATTTGTGAGACAGGCTGGGGCTGGGGGGCCTGGGCAGCGCTCCGCTGCCTACAACTAATTGGCTCTGCATCTTGCATCTGCTGACGAGGCACTCCTGAGAGGCAGGGAGAGGCCAGATACGATCGCCCTGAGGAGGACGGAGTGAAGGACACAGAGATTAGCCGGGTGCCCCCTTCATTATGACGGGACCTAGAGCCAGAGCCAAGAATTGGATCCAGATTCCTCAACTCCCAGATGGATTTTCTCATCCGGAGGTCCTGCCACATTCCTGCTGCAGAGCAGCCGCCCACCCAGTCCAGGGCCCACACCTGGGCCGAGTTCATGGGTGTGTGTATATGTGTGTGTTTGTGTGTGTGTGTGTGTGCACGCACGCATTACTGCTTCCTTGGCATGCCGCTCATCCTTAGAAAGAAAGAAAAATAAAATTCTCACCCTTGGAAAATGGTCTCTTAACTGAGAATAACATTGATAATACACAGGTTGTTCAAATGCTCTTAACCACATCTATTTTTAAAGAATTTTTGGCATGGGAGGAAGTCCAGAGTCCAAACAGATTCGACGCCTACATTTCTTTCCAGAAGAATGTGCACGTGGAAAAGCATCCTGCAAGTTATTAAGGTTAAAAGGAATTTATTATATTAGTTGAAACTCTATTTGACCAGGAAGGGCCAGTGCCCATGGAGAAATTTCCCCAGAGAACACTTGAGGCACACCGTCAACTTTCACCACTAGGGGGCGCGGTCTCAGTTACACATCAGAGGATCCTCTCAAGTACA